ACACCGAGGCTGCACAGGGCGGCCCCACGGAGGCCCCAAGATTGCCCAAGCGGGCTCCAAGACGGACCCAAGACATCCGAAAGAGTGCCTTCTGCCGTTACTGGGAAGCCCCCCCCCCCCCCCGGTTCGAACCAGGGAATGGAAAGGCAAAACAGCCTCCAGGTCCGAATCTAGGGTGGGCCTCTCCACTGCCGGAATTCGAACCTGAAGAGGGGTCGGAAAGCCTAAGGGCGAACTGTCCGTGTTATGCCGGGCAGCCTCGCCCGCTTCGCTGACAACGAGCTCAAGCACAGCTCAAACAAAGCTCAAGCAAAGCTCAAACAAAGCCCAAACAAAGCTCAAACAAAGCTCAACCAACGCTCAACCACAGCTCAACCACAGCTCAACCAAAGCTCAAACAAAGCTCGAGCAAAGCTTCAACAAAGCTTGCACAGGCTCCAACAAAGCTCCAACAAAGCTCCACCGAAGCTCAAACAGTGCTCCAACGAAACTCAAAAAATCGGCTCGAAGTTGGGGCGGGGAAGACATCGCTCCCCCCACCCGGGCAGGAGGAGCTGCAGGAGGGCGGTGGAGAGGAGGGAGGAAAAGGTGGAGACGAAGGAGAGGGCGGGGGCAAGGGGGAGGAAGAGGACGCGGGAGGAAGAGAAGGGGGAAGAGGACGAGAAGGAGGAGGAGGAGGAGGAGGAGAAGGAGGAGGGGGAGGAGGAGCAGGGGAGCGAGGTTGAGGAAGAAGCGAGACGGGGCGAGGCGGCGCCAGCCGCACCCATGCCAAGAGGACCCCAAGGAGGGATCGTTTCCCCCACCCACCTCCTCCTCCTCGTCTCCTTCCTCCTCCTCCTCCTCCTCCTCTTCCTCCTCTCTCCTCCTCCTCCTCCTCCCTCCTCCTCCTCCTCTCCTCCTCCTCCTCCTCCTCCTCCCGTTCGAACCGGACCAGGGGGGAGGGGGGGAGTCTTTGCTCCCCCCCCGGGCTCGAACGAACCAGGGTAGGGGGAGGGCCCCGTGCCCCCCTGCCACCCCCGGGCTCCCAGGCAGGGGGGGTGCCCCCCCCCCCCCCGCTGGTTCCCGGAGAGGGGAGGGGGGAATTTCTGCGCGGTACCCCCTGTGCCACCTCCCCCCCCCCTCCCTGGTGAGTGCATGGAGCTTTCTGTGTCCACCCTCTCCCCTCCTCCCTCTCACCCCCTTCTCTCCCCCTCCCCCCCGCTTGGCGCGCCGGACGCGGCCCTGGCAACTTCTGAACCGCGCTCTCTGCCCACGCGTCCTTCATGGATGCACGGCTTTCGTGTCGTATCGTATCGTAACCCGCCCTCCTCTGATTTCGCGGAGGGGGGGGGGGGGGGGGAATTCTGCACAGCCGAGCGACTGTAGGTCGCGCTCCCTCAGACATCCCGAGGACGGCCCAAGACGAGCCCAAGGCGAGCCCAAGAGAGCCACATGACAGCACAGCAGCGCCCCGAAAGCCAACTCAAAGCCGCCCCGAAAGCCAACCAGAAGGCAGAAGAGGCGCTGCGAGGGTGCCCCGAGGCGGCTCAAAGTGAGGTCGCCGAGAGACGCCGGAGAGGCCCTCCTCCTCCTCCTCCTCCTCCTCCTCCTCCTCCTCCTCCTCCTCCTCCTCCTCCTCCTCCTCCTCCTCCTCCTCCTATCCTTATTCCTTATTAGAATATACTCCTACTCCCCCCTCAGGCCGGCAGATAGGGGCCGCATCCGGGTGGTCCCATCCTAACCTGTAAAAAACAATACAAAATCAACATTTTTCTTATTTTTTCCTCTCGACATGGACGTCCTGTCGTCCACGGCGATAATCCATTGCAAAAAATACCACAAAGAGCACACGCGCGCGTTCATGTCAGAATCCTACCGAACACCGTGTGTTTGCAAGCATTTCAACATAAAAACATCAAAAACCCGATGCTTTTTCACAAAAATTCTACAAATTTCCTGCCCGGGCTCTCTTGCTGAAATCATAGGAAAACCATAGGAATCTTAAGAATTCGGTCAAATCCAGCGATTTCACGTCATCGCGCGGTGCACTCGCGATGCTCTGTCATGCACCCAGGCCGCGAATCCTGTGCAAAAAATACCACGCGGGCGACATGCGCGCGCGTCGCCGCGAGCGCATGCTCAAATCCTTCTAGAGTCGTCGCCGTCATTGGCACCGTCGCATGGACGTCCTGTCGTCCACGTCGCAAAATGCATGGCAGGAATGGGACGCGGCGCACACCCCGCGCCCGCCCATCCAATCCGTCCCATTCTAATCTGCAAAAGACAATACACAGTTTCTGTTTTTCGGCATTCAACACGCGCTCGCCAGTTCCCGTCGGCAACCGCCATCGCGGCCGCATCAGCTGTACCAAACCGGCTGGCCGGTGTGACTTCGGCCCCCAGTTGTGCCAGCTTTGCTTCTTATGTTGTGGGAGGGCGGGTGGGACTGGGCATGCCATGCTTGACTCGCTCGAGCTGGCTAGCTTGACTCCTACTCCTACTCCTACTCCTACTCCTACTCCTACTCCTACTACTCCTACTCCTACTCCTACTCCTCTCCCTCCCCCTCCTCCTCCTCATCCTCCTCCTCTTCCTCCTCCTCCTCCTCCTCCTCCCGTTCGAACCGGACCAGGGGGGAGGGGGGCAGTCTTTGCTCCCCCCCCCCGGGCTCGAACGAACCAGGGTAGGGGGAGGGCCCCGTGCCCCCCTGCCACCCCCCAGCTCCTAGGCAGGGGGGGTGCCCCCCCCCCCCCCCGCTGGTTCCCGGAGAGGGGAGGGGGGAATTTCTGCGCGGTACCCCCTGTGCCACCTCCCCCCCCCCTCCCTGGTGAGTGCATGGAGCTTTCTGTGTCCACCCTCTCCCCTCCTCCCTCTCACCCCCTTCTCTTCCCCTCCCCCCCGCTTGGCGCGCCGGACGCGGCCCTGGCAACTTCTGAACCGCGCTCTCTGCCCACGCGTCCTTCATGGATGCACGGCTTTCGTGTCGTATCGTATCGTGCCCGCCCCCCTCTGATTTCGCGGAGGGGGGTGGGGAATTCTGCACAGCCGAGCGACTGTAGGTCGCGCTCCCTCAGACATCCCGAGGACGGCCCAAGACGAGCCCCAGGCGAGCCCAAGAGAGCCACACGACAGCGCAGGAGCGCCCACCAGCTCAGAGCCGCCCCGAGAGCCAACACAAAAGGCAGAAGAGGCGCTGCGAGGGTGACCCAAGACGGCTCAAAGTGACTCCTCCTCCTCCTCCTCCTCCTCCTCCTCCTCCTCCTCCTCCTCCTCCCTCCTCCTCCTCCTCCTCCTCCTCCTCCTCCTCCTCATCCTCCTCCTCCTCCTAGGCCCCGACAGCAGCCCACGAGGCCCGAAGGCGCGCAAAAATGCTCCGAATTCAGCTTTCTGGCCGCAGAGGGCGGCGGTGACTCGCTGGACGCGCGTTCCATCGCTCGCACTCTCCCGCGTCCAAAATCATACCAAACAGATTCGGACCAGCCAGGCTCGGGCGAGCTGAGCCACGCAACCATGGGATCAAGCCAGAAGCACCCCAGCGACGATACCCGTCGCAACGCGAGTGGGAGACGACATCATAAAAGAGAGACGAACGCTGCAACATCAGAAAACAGACTACCCGAAGTTACCCATTTTGCAATCAAGACCACCCGAATTGAAACCACCTAAGAGCACATCCGATAGTTACTTCGAAAAGAGGGAAAGAACGCTGCAGCATCAGAAAACATGCTACCCGAAGTTAATCGTTGTGCAATCAAGGCCACCCGAATTGAAACCACCTAAGAGCACATCCGATACTTCCTTCATAATGTGTTTCGTGCTACTGCGGACGACAGAAGCAAGAGGACGGAGAATCAGCTCGAAAGCCCGCCGCTCAATGGCCTTCTTCGAAGCTCCAAAAGTTGGCGGCGAGCGAGGGGGGGAAGTGTGAAGGAGAAGGCCTTCTCAGAAGGCGGCGGGGCTTCTCAGAAGCCCTCGCGCCTTCTAAGAGGCTTCCTGCGCATGCGGGGACGGCTCAGGAAACCCCTCAGAAGGCCGGGGGACTTCCGAGCCTTCGCACTCCCACCCTGGGCTCGCCGCCGGAAAACGCCCTACTCCATTGCCGGGCCCTCATCTTCGAGGGCCCGAGAGGGCTGAAAAATGCTGGCGCGTGCGAGTAGGCAATTGCTACAAGCCCGCTGTTTAACCGAAGAAAGGGTATCGCACAGCTGGGCGAGGGCGCACCCAGGAGCGATAGGGAGGGGGAGGGCGCAGGAACAACATGCACCAGGGAGGGGCAGGAAGCATCGCAGGGAGGGGAGCCTTGCAAGGGGTTGCCAGAACGGCACGAGGGCTGCGAATTGTCACACGGCGGCTCGGCGCGCTGCAGAAACGAAGCGCGCACAACGCTTCTAAAAGTACAGCCGGGGCAGGTGCGGCCAGCCAGACTCGGGCTCGCCCCAACCCTTCTGTGGCAACTCCTGGGAGCCTCCCATACCATCTTGTTGGCTCTTGCGACTCGACGCTGGCCGACGCTGCGTCGACGCCAATCGACGCGAAATCGAGGCTCACCGACGCTAGCCGACGCCAAATCGGCGCTGTCTCGTCGACTCTCGGACGCCAATCGATGCGAACCGACGCTACAGACGGAAGTAAGAGGGCATACCAGGTTCCAAATAAGCTGCTACCGACCCCCAGGAGGGTTGGAGGACCCGCCGCTCGTGTCTGCCCAGCCTGGAGTGCTCCCGAGGGTTGGGCACCCGCCGCTCCTGTCTGCCCAGCCTGGAGTGGAGGGTTCCTCCGAAGGACTTTGGCGACCCGTCCTCCTCCTCCTCCTCCCTCCTCCTCCCTCCTCCCCTCTCCTCCCCCTCTCTCCTCCTCCTCCTCCTCCTCCTCCTCCTCCTCCTCCTCCTCCTCCTCCTCCTCCTCCTCCTCCTCCTCCTCCTCCTCCTCCTCCTCCTCCTCCCTGCGGGCTCCGCCGACGTGGCAGCCCAGCGTGCCGCTGCCGCGCCGCAAGCTCGGGTCGCCGTGCGAGCGCGCGAGCCTCAGGCCTCGTGCAGCGGGGCGTCGCAGAGACCCTGGGAGACCTCGTGCCACGCCTGCCCGAACCGCTCGAGGAGAGCCTCCGCGCTTTAGCTGCCCCGATGCGCAACACGCTGCCCGCAGCGTGTCGGCACGGAGCTCACCGCGTAGACTGGAAACGCAGGCCTGGCGCGACACTTTCGCCGACACCGACTACCTACCGGGCCACCCCAACCCAACCCGAAGACGCAAATTTCGGGTCTGGGGGGGGAGTGCGGGTTACATACGTGTTTTGTCAATCTTCCCGACGCACCCCCCTGGGACTGGAGGGCAAAGTGGGGCCTTCGGGTTGGGTTGGGGTGCTTTGGTGGGTGGTGGGACGCGTGGGCAACGTGGGCCCGCACGTGCGTGACAGGCGTGCCGAGCACGGCACGTGTTGCACTGCATCAGCGGGCGAAGACTGGTAGAAAATAAACTTTTCCGCCGTCGGGGACGCCTACCCCCGTGCGGCTGGAAAGTTCATACCCCTACGGTGCCACGCAGGGGTGCAAACTTTGCAGCCGCCGAGGGGCAGGCGTCCCGGACGGCGGAACAGCTTATCTTATACCGCTCTTCGCCCACCGACTTTAGCACGTGCGTATCGGGGCCGCTGAGCCTCTGCGAGCACGATGGCGCCCACGCCGAGGCCGCCCCCGCCGGCCGCCTCGGAGCCCCCGCGCCCGAGGAAGTGCTCGCAGGCCGCGACGGCCGCCCGTGTGCGGCTGGCCTTGAGCATCGTCTAGCCGATCCCCATCCCCACTGGCGTGGCCTGGGGCCCACTGGCCGGTGCACCCCCCCTATCTGGGGATATTCTCCCGGCGACACGAGTCAACGAAACTCTTCACTTTTCTACCCAATTCGTTTTTTTCGTTTCCGTTTTCTGAACTACTGACTTCCCGCCGCGACGATTCGTTTTTCGTCGTCGCTTGTCTAACTAACTGGCTGTTCCCTTCGGGCTTCGAGAGGCCTATCCCAAACTCGGGTGGTGGGATGCTGGGGCTGAGATGCCATGGCCCAGTGGGGATGGGGATCGCAGACGAAGAACAGAAGGGCATAAACATAAACGTTTGGCGCTCCGCGCAGACTTCTTGGATGTGCACTGGACCCCCCTTCCTGGCGCGCGGACCGCGCCGGGGGCGCCGCCGGGGGGTCCCAGCGCGGATCCAAGAAATCCGCGCGGAGCGCCAAAAGCTCATGTTTATAGCGTTTTCTCTCTTCTTCGAGACTGGTTACACGATGCTGAGGTTAGGTCGAGCATGTCCCCCTACAGGCGGATCTTGCAGGAAACATGAACAAATAGTCAACAAGCATTTCAAAAGGGCTCAAAAAATGGTTCAAAGAATCGCCCCCCCCCACACAGCTTTTGAAATGTCTCTGCACCTTCCCCCGGCAGAGGGACACGCCCGACTTCCTACCGAGGCCTCCCGCCGCAGCGACCTGCCCGCCGCGCCCGCGCGCGCGGCCCGCGCCACGAGCCGGGCGCCCGAGCCCGCGGGGGCGCCGCCCGCCTCGTGCCCCCCGCGGCCCGCGCCCAGCTCGCGCAGGGCGGCCCGGGCGACGCCGTCCATGCCTTGGCGGAGGCCAGGCCAAGGTCGGAAGGTTTCGCCCTGCTTTCTGCCTCCCCCCCCCCTCCTCCTCCCTCATCCTCCTCCTCCTCCTCCTCCTCCTCCTCCTCCTCTCCTCCTCCGCCTCCTCCTCCTTCTCCTCCTCCTCCGCCTCCGCCGCCTCCCCCCCCCTCCCCCTCCTCCTCCTCCCCTCCTCCCTCCTCCCACCTCCTCCTCCCTCCTCCCTCCTCCCTCCTCCCTCCTCCCTCCTCCCTCCTCCCGTCCTCCCTCCTCCCTCCCCCCTCCTCCCTCCTCCCTCCTCCCTCCTCCCTCCCTCCTCCCTCCTCCTCCTCCCTCTCCCTCCTCCTCCTCCTCCCTCCTCCCTCCTCCCTCCCTCCTCCTCCCCTCCTCCCTCCTCCCTCCTCCCTCCTCCTCTCCTCCCTCCTCCCTCCTCCTCCTCCCTCCTCCCTCCTCCTCCCTCCTCCCTCCTCCCTCCTCCCTCCTCCCTCCTCCTCCCTCCTCCCTCCTCCTTCCTCCCTCCTCCCTCCTCCCTCCTCCCTCCTCCTCCTCCCTCCTCCCTCCTCCCTCCTCCCTCCTCCCTCCTCCTCCTCCCCCTCCCTCCTCCCTCCGCCCTCCTCCCTCCTCCCTCCTCCTCCTCCTCCCTCCCTCCTCCCTCCTCCCCTCCTCCTCCTCCTCCTCCTCCTCCTCCTCCTCCTCCTCCTCCTCCTCCTCCTCCCTCCTCCTCCTCCTCCTCCTCCTCCTCCCCCTCCTCCTCCTCCTCCTCCTCCTCCTCCTCCCTCCCTCCTCCTCCTCCCCTCCTCCTCCTCCTCCTCCTCCTCCTCCTCCTCCTCCTCCTCCTCCTCCTCCTCCTCCTCCTCCTCCTCTCCTCCTCTCCTCCGCCCTCCTCCTCCTCCTCCTCCCTCCTCCTCCTCCTCCTCCTCCTCCTCCTCCTCCTCCTCCTCCTCCTCTCAAGCTCAGGGGCGCGGAGCGCAGTAGAACCATTTTTTGGCTCATCTTGGCAAGCTCCCTGTCCTGCACTGAACCTCCCCGTGGTGCTTGAGGGGCACCGCTTGACTGCGACACAACAGTTGTTACATTCGTGCGGTTGGCTAGTACAGTGCAAAGTTTCGGTCGACGAGTTTTGCAAGATTGGTGTTTTGGGTTCCTCCTGAACATCAATTTCAACGTCCGTCCCAGGCCGAGGGTTGGGTTGGAGGCACGCGGGTTTCGAGCCCATCTAAGCCCTTCACCCCTCGGCCTGGGCGTACCTCTTCGGCTACGTGAAGTTCCGTCTCAGGCAGTGGGTTGGGCTGGAGGCACGGGGGCTGCGAGCCCATCTAAGTCCTTCACCCCTTGGCCTGGGCGTATTATCTTCTTTTGCAGGGTCTGGAGCTCATGCTGTTGGAGGTGCTACCTTTCTGGTGACCAGTGGCGAGGCTGTGTGTGGATGAAGCGATCTCTCGCGAGGTAGCCCGGTGATCTACGGTAGGGCCTCATAGAGCCGATTTCATTTCAGCTTAGGCGCTCGTCTTTTCAGTTTGGCCGTTGTCTCTGGTGGCTTGCTTCAGTACATAATTTATCTTATCCTCAGTTTGGCGGCAGTGGTCAATTTGTATTTGCTGGGATCCTGTGTGAAAGCCCTGGTGAAGGGGATTTCCTTTCAATTCACTTCATTTGCGTTCATCCTCCTCTACATCTTCCACCAGTGCCAAGTGTACACGGCTTCCTCGTCATCTGAGTGGAGGCAGTCTGAATTAGTTATGATAATTTCGCTACGCGAAGGCTGTAATTCCTGTAATTCCTCCTCCTCCTCCTCCTCCTCCTCCTCCGCCCTCCGCCCTCCTTCCTCCTCCTCCTCCTCCTTCTCCTTCTCCTCCTCCTCCTCCTCCTCCTCCTCCTCCTCCTCCTCCTCCACCCTGGTGGGCCTTGGGAGCGTGCAGGAACGACCCAGGAGGAAGCGCTGACCCCCAGGAGGGGGTCCAGACCTCTGGGGGTCGACGCCGTGAGAAAAGCACGGCGTCGGAGGTCTGGGGAGTGCAGCTTGCCATCGCTCGGAGGTCCATGTCCTGTGCATTGTTTGGTTCCGTGCGCGCTCTTTTCTGATCCGCGTGGCCCGGGGCGCTCCAGGCTGATCCAGACTTTCTGGCGCTGGCCCCGCCGAGGGAAGTGCACACGTGCCCAGAGAGGGGGGCGGATGCGGCACGGCGAGGGCAATGGATGAGGAACTGCTGGATGAGGGAATCCAGGGTCTGGGAGCCGGCAGAGCACCGACCGAAGCTTGGCCACGGTGATTCACCGCCGCCCTCGTCAGACAAGGGATCATCCAGGGTCTGACGCCTCCCGGTCACGCTCCTTCACGAACGCCCCCATCGCAGCCAGGGGCAGGGAGCCTCGTCGAGAGGGCACGGACGATCGGGGCCCCCGGAACGGCCCCCCCTAGGCTGTATGTCCCGCCCCCGTTGCAGCCGCCGAGAGTGCCCGCGAGCTGCTCTGGGATGCCGGCCAGCGCCCCGGCGGCCCTCGCCGCGAGCGGCACGTGCCGCAGCTCGGCCTGCAGCCCCGACAGGAAGCCGGGGTCGGCCAGGTGGCACTCGAGGCACACGTAGTGGACGACGCTCAGGCCGCTGGCCCCCCTCGTGTCCGCCAGCTGCAGCAGCCCCTCCAGCTCGAAGCCGGGGGCGGCGGGGCTCCCCAGCGCGGCCCGCGCGGCGCCCTGGAGCATCGCCACCGCCGCCTGGAAGCGCGTGGAGGCGCGCAGCTCCACGCACGCCAGGCGCACCGTGCGCAGCGCGGCCCTCGCGAGCTGCACCTCGCCCTCCATGCTGGGCGGGAGGCCCGCGCGCTCCGTGCGGCCTGCGGCCGCTGCCGCCCCCTCGCCCGCGGGCGCCCCGAGCGACGGCGCGGGCCCCTGGGCCTCGGCGGGGGGTGACTCCTCGTCGCTGGAGGCGTCCCCGATGAAGAACGCGACATGGCCCGGGCAGGGCTCCGGGCCCGGCTCTGGCAGCACGCCCGCCTGCTCGGCCACACGGAGGAGTGGCCCTGGGCAGAGTGGCCCTTGGTGCGCGACTGAACGGGGCACGCGGGGCGGCCAAACCCGTGCGCGCAAGGAGCTGTTAGCGCATCGCGTTCGGCGATCGGGGGGCCCCACTGAGCCCGCACCAAAGGTCACTCCGGCGAAAGGTCACTCTTACCTGTAGTCGACCTGCTCCCGCGGCGCAGGGGCGCCTGGTCCCGCCGGCTTCGGGCTGGCCTCGGCGGCCAGCAGCCGCGGGCTCGCAGAAGCCCGCAGGCCGCTGCCCAGCGGCTCGGGGGTCGAGCTCCGACCAGGGCCGGCCTTCGCTGGCAGCACGAGCGGGGCAAGCTGCGCGGTCGCCCGCGCACGCGCCTCTGGTGGGGCAGGCTGCGCGCCAGATCCTGGAGGGGGAGCCGGCGGTGACGTCAGAGTCTCTGGGGCTCGCTGGCGCCTGCGCCGCGCCGGCGCCACGGCGCTGGACATCGGAACAGAGCCCCCCACGATGACTGCCTCCAGGCCGCTTCGCGGTAGCGCATTCGGCTCAGGCCCAGCGGCGGCTCCAGGCCTGTTCGACCATCGGCGGCGAGCGTGCGCAGTGGTTGCGCTGGTTGGTGTGGGCGCTCCGTCGGGAGCGGCTGCCGTGTCTGACACGCCCTGGGATAGCTCGCAGAGCGAAGAGGTAGCCGGGCCGAGCTGCGTCGCTGGTGGTGGGCTGTCGAGTGGCTGCCCGCTGGGGCAATCCTCGCTGGAGGAATCGTGGAGCGTCTCTGGCGCCCCCATGGCTGAACAGCCGCTCAAACCAGGCGACTCGGCCATAGAGCTGCTCCGGTCTGCGAGCCCAGCCGAATCGTCGTCGCCGATAAAGTACGACCCCTCGCTGGGCAGTGCGCGCGACGAGGTTTGCTCCCCCGTCACGAGCGGCTCCAGGCCAGACCCAGCCTTATCGAAGAAGGCGTCCCAGCCGTCAATGGTGAATCCCCTCGGTGGCCTGCTCAGCCTCGACAGGCGCGAGTGCCACCGCGGGGAGCCCCGCGGTGGCGTCTGCGAGACGACCTCGGCTGGCGCAACGGTGTCAAGCGGCCCGCATGGCGGGCCACCCAGCCGCGGCAGCGCGCTGCCTGGGCAGCCATCCCCGGGCGGGCCCTCGGGGCTCGACGCAAGCGGCTGCGGCCGTGGCACGGCCAGCGGGGGGACGCCCGACGACCCCCTCGCCTGGAGCGCCGCGCCCAGGCCGCTGGCCAGCGGCTCGCCGCCGTGCGCCCTGCCCGGTGGGGGCCCGCCAGCTGGCCGGCCGCAGCGCTGGGTGGACCCGGCGCGCTGCGCCAGCGCCCGCACGCGCCTGTGAGCGCCAGCGGCGTCGCCTAGGGCGTCGCCTGGGCGCCGGCTGCAGCGCCGGCGGCGCACGAGCGCCAGCGTCAGGAGCGAGGCCCAGCCTGCGGCCCCCGCGGCGCCCAGCAGCGCCGCAGTGGAGGTCTCCCGCCCGTCGTCCGCGGCCGCTTGCTGCTCGCGCTCCTCCTCCGCGCGCGTCTGCCGGGCCAGCTCGAGTTTCTGGACGTCGGCCTCCTCTCGCCTGCGCCGCTTCTCGGCGCGGGCGGCCTCCGCGAGCTCCCTCCGCTGCTGCTCGAGCTCCGCCCTCTTGCGCTGGCGGGCCGCGGCCTTCTCGTCGGCCTCCTGCCTCTTGCGCTCTTTCTCGTCCTCTCGCCGCCTCAGCCTATCTAGCCGCTCGGCGGAGGCAAGCAGCTGCCGTTCCTCTTCGTCCTGTTCTTGCTGCCTCGCCTGGGCTGCGAGCTGCTCCGCCTCACTCTGGCGCCGCTGCGCCACCTCTTCCTGCCACTCTCGCGCAGCGGCGCACCTCTCCTCCAGCCTGTGCTGCGCCCGCTCCACTGCGCTGAGCCTTCTATGCGTCTTGGCGCTCAGCTTCTGGTCCTTGTACCTGGCCTTCTCCTTCTTGTACTTCGCCCGCTCGCGAAGCTTGGCACACTTGTCGATCAGCTTCTGGCGATCCATCGCAACCGCCTCGAGCCGAGCGTGCCTCTCAGCGGCTCTCCTCTCCGACGCCTCCAACCTCTGCCTCTGGGCAGCCAGCGACACAGCCACAGCTCCGCTGGCCGCGGAGCGCTGCTCCTCCTGCCTGGCCCGCTGCATTGCCTCTTCCTCGCTCTGCCGCAGGTCGGCCGCGCGCTGCTCCACACGCTGCACCTCGCGCGAGATCGCCTTGAGCTGCCCTGCCTGCTTTGCCTCGCTCTTTGCGAGCCTCGCCCGCCGCCTGGCCCTCTTAAACGCATCCCTGTCGCGTATTCTGGCCGCCTGCTCCTGAAGGGAACCGTTGCGGAAGGACCTCCTCGGAGGGGGGGGGGGGGGGCACCCGTGCAAGCGGACGGACAGTCCGACTCGGGCGAGCTGGCCCGACGGCGCTTCACGGTGCATCGGCAGCTGAAGCCGAAGCCAAAGCTGAAGTGCACGGAGAAACGGAGAGGGCCTCAGGGGGGGGGACATCGAGCTGCAATCGGCGATACAGTCGGGCCGCTGACAGAAGGAACGCTAGATAAGGAACGAAGCCCCTTCTTGGCCCTGTAAGCGCCTCCGTGCCCCAGGAGGGCGAGATGAACAGCACTGGAGGAACCGAGCCCCCATCCGAACCCGAGCTGTCCCTTGCTTCAGCGCCTTGACTGCACGCGTGTCGGCGAGAGGCCCCCGAGGGCGCAACCACACGGCCCTGAGCGGGCTGGGCGACCGGGCCCGCACGTCGACGCCGACCCCCCCCCCCACGAGGGTCCGTTGCCCCCCCCGGACGTTGCCCCCTGCGCTCCTCCAGCTGCTGCCTCTCCTGGGGCGCACGGGCACAGACATACCGATACCATCTCATCGGCGGTGGACAAACCTCCCTTTAGTAGACCTCCCCTTAGTGAAAACGGCCTGGGACCGAAACCGACGGACCTGGACCCGCAAAAATGACGGCCGCGGCGCCCTATCGCGAACCGAAAACGGCCAATTCCTGAATCGACGTGTCAGGGTAGGAGGTCTGTCCACCCCCGAATATATGTCCTCCCTGGAGGCGCGCGCGCCCGACCCGAACATATGGCAGACCCACCTTGCAGCAGATCGCTTCCCGAGCGGCGGGGCCATGGGGCGCCCGCCGCGACGCAAAGATATGCTGTGAGACTTCCCGGCGCGCGCGCGTCGCCCCCGGAGGGGGCGACGCGCATGCAGCCCAGACCCCCGACGTTGCGTTTATGCTCACAACGTCGACCCCCAGAGGTCTGGACCCCTTCCCCGGGACCGGTTGTTCGTCCAGAGTCGCTGTTTGACAGTCCCGAGGCCTGGTAAGGGCCCCCGGAGGCCGAAAATGGAGAAACACCTCCCGTCGCGGTTTTTGTTCTCACAGCACGAGGAGGTCAGGGAGTATTGGCATGCTGGGGCGACGCCGATCTCCAGCTGCTCGGCCTCCCGCCTCAGGCGGTCCTGCCTCCCGCGCTCCTCTCGGCCCACGCGCAGGGAGCGACCCCCTTGGCAGGAGTGACCTCTGGGTGCGAGGCCTTCGGGGGGCCTTCGAGGGAGGCCCACCCTTCAAGGGGCCCGTCACACACAAAAATGCACAGACACAAGTAAACAGGACTCCCACATTTTCCCACCTTTTCTGGGCTTTCGGCTTCCCCCCACTTCCCATACTTCCCCATCTTTTCTGGGTTTTCGGCTTCCCCCCCACTTCCCATATTTTCCCTTCTTTTCTGGGTTTTCGTCTTCCTCCCCCCTTCCTAGATTTTCGAATCGACAATAAATTGTGTCTGTGTGCTTCTTTCCCTCCTGACCAATGCAAGCCACCCAGGCGTGCCAGCCAGTGCTGGCAGGACCCCTTGTGGGCCCACACTGACGGGTCACTCCGGCGATGGGTCACTCTGTCGAGCAGGGGATCGACTGCAGAATTGACATACCCCGGACTGGAGCTGTGCGTCGAATCTGCGCACAGGTGCGCAGAGCCTCCGCAGACCTGCGAAGACTGCCCGTGTGTGTGCGCATACTCGACGCACGACAACACGGCGCTGGGGTCAGCTCCGCTCTGCAGTCGGCCCCCTCCTCGAGCTCTCGCGCGCCGCCGATCCTCCTCTCCGAGGCGCCACTGCCGCGTGACCGCCTCGGCCCTGCGCCGCGCAGCGGCCATCCGCTCCTCCGCCCGGCGCCGCTCCCGCTCCTCGGCCAGCCGCAGCCGCCGCGCGGCCTCCTCCGCGCGCCGCCGGGCCGCCTGCCGGATCCGGGCCTCCTCTCGGCGGGGAGCCCAGGAGGGGGGGGAGCCCTGGGATCTCGAGGAGGGGATCGACGGCAGAAGCGATGTGCCCCAGAACTGATTCCCCGGTCGCAGCTACGAGCACGAATACGCAGAGATCTCAGTATAGATCTACGGAGGAGTCTGCGCAGTCGGACTAGATTCGGCGGAACACTCGATTCTGGGGTAAATCAATCCTGCAGTCGTTCCCCTACTCGGAGATCCTAGCGTTGCAACTTTGTCGCAGCGGGCATTTTGGCCCCGTCTCGGGTCCCGGGACCCTCACATATCGATCCGGCTCGAAAAATGGCGCAGCAAGCTGGGGTCCGGGACTCCGGTCGCGATGTTTTCTGCGATGCGGCAAGTTTCTCGCAACGTCGGCTCTCAGGGGATGCAGAGGGGGCCGGCCTTCTCAGAGGGCTCGAAGGCCTACGGCCTCTGGAGAAGTGAACCCCGATGGGAGGCCACATGCGACCCCCACTTACCCCACCTCCCCCCTCTAGAAATCGTGGGGTGGTGGGGCAGGGATCGCCTGTGGCCTCCTGCCGGAGCCTCCTCCGAAGACGCAGGCGGCTCCCCGGGAGGCCAGGCAGGGGCCTCCGAGAGGCCCCGCCCCCCGCTGAGGAGGCCCCGGCCCCTCTCGCTGCCTCGGCGACGAGAGCCACATGCCTGTCCACTGCCCCTGGCCGGGCCCGTCCTGGGCCCGGGAGCTGTGCCTGGGCCTCCCTGGCCGAGCCGGGAGGGCGCCTGCGCACAGCTCCTGGGCCCAGGACGGGCCTGGCCAGGAGCAGCGGGTAGGCATGCAGCTCTCGTCGCCCCAGCTTCCCCCCCCCCGGGCGCGCCGGCGCTCCTCTGAGTGATCTGCCTGCTCGTCCACCGCGGCCGTGGGCGGCCCCGCCTCCCCGGGGCGCACGGTGCCCCTACGCGTCAGGCACAGGGCCGCGAGCACCAGGAGGCCCGGTGGCAGCCCGCGGCGGCAGGCGGGTCCCCACCACCCGGGCGGCTCCCGCCTCTGCGCCACCACACCCATCGCCTGCGCGCGAGCTCATGAATCATCGCCGCCCCGCCGCCGGGAGATCCGCGGGGCGCCGAGTCATCTCTTGGGCCAAAACGGCTACCGCAGGAGGGCGCAGGTGGGTGGCCACACGTGAACCCTACCCCCCACACACACTCACACACACACACACTCACACACACACACGCACACACACTCTCTCTCTCTCTCTCTCTCACACACACACACTCTCTCTCTCTCACACACACACCCCAAACGATTTCCGAGGAGGGGTGGGGGTCCACTCCGCTCGGGAGCTCCCGAACGAAGTGGAACGCCCCAGCTCCCCCTTAGCATCCGCGGGTGGCGGGAGCAGGGTTCCACGCGAGGCCCCCGAGCAGGGCGGCGGAGCGCACGGCCAGGCCCCCGCCCCCCCCTTGCTGGCCACGGCACCGCCAGCCAGGCACGGAGCAGCTCCGCACGAGCCGCCGGCTGGCACAAAACACCCGCTCCCCATCCGCGGGTTGCTGGCCGAGCTGGGGCGCCGGGCCGAGCCCCCGCTGCTGGCGCTCCTGCTGCTGCAGGGCCCAGCCGCAGCTCTGGCTTCTTCTGAGGAGAGGAGAGGCGAGAAGAGAGATGATAAGGAGGAGGAGCAGGAGGATGAGGAGGATGAGGAGGAGGAGGAGGAGGAGGAGGAGGAGGAGGAGGAGGAGGAGGAGGCCAGACATTCCAGCTTCCAGGCTGACTCCGCCCTGGCACGACATCAATCCCCCCCCCTCGTCGAGGCCCCATCACTCCCTCGCCCCCCTCGCCCTCTCTCTCTCCCGCGCTCACCTGCCCTCTGGCCGAGGGAGGGGGGAGGGTTTTTCAAAAGGAGGCTGCTTCTTAGAAGGCGCCGGCCTTAAATCTATAGATAAGGCCCGCGCCGTCTAAGAAGCAGGGGTGCTTCTAAGAAGCCCTCCCCCCTCCCCCCACCCCCCTCTGCGCGTGGCTGAGGAGGCCTTGTGGCCGCACCGTGGCCCAGTCATAAAAGGTGATCATATCATCCCTGAGCAGAAAGCGCCAGCGGAGAAGCGAGGAAGATAACACATGGTGTTCCTCAGGATCAAGGCTAAGAGTGCGGCGGCTGCGACGCACGCCGCGCGACGCGGCTCATGGGCCAACAATGCGTACGGTTCGGGTGCACGCTGCGTTGATGCTTCCCCTCGCCATGCACTGCTAATTACGACTCTCATTGCTCCATGCCTGCTTCGCAGACCTGGCGTGCCACCCGCAGGCGCGCCAGTGCTAGAAGACTGGTTCTTGAATTCCCATGTACGGAGCGAAGGTGGAGGGATACGCATGTAAATGCGTGACAAAGAGAGCGAGAGAAAGAGAGAGAGAGAGAAAGACAGAGAAAGAGAGAGAGAGAGAGAGAGAGAGAGAAAAAAAAAAAAAAAGGAGGATGACAGAGGCAGATTCCCATTGTAGTTATACACACATTTCATCACGCAGGACCCCCCTCCCCCGAAATCGGGTCCCCCGCATCCCGGGCTCCTGGGACCCTCTGGACCCCCAGGACCCGTGGCCCCGGAGACCCCCTGAGGCCCCCCAGGCGTTTCACTGCTCCTGGAAGCTCTTGCGGAGCCTAGGCAGCGGCCCCGAGCGGCCATGAGGGCGGCCGAAGGCCCTCCCGAGGGCAGTTGTCCATCTGTTGGCCTCCCGACATTCCGAATTTGGGGAAACCCATCGGCCGCCAGCAATCCCTATAGGGACTCTGGCGGCCGATGGGTTTCCCATACTTCGCGGCGGCGAGCGGGGTCCAGATCTCGAATTGTGGGAAACCCAGCGGCCGCCAGGTGGGTTTCCCATAATTCGCGGCGGCGAGCGGGGTCCAGACCCCGAAGTGTGGGAAACCCGTCGGCCGCCAGAAAGCCCTGGGGACTCTGGCGGCCGATGGGCTTCCCGGAATTCGCGGCGGCGAGCGGGGTCCAGATCCCGAATTGTGGGAAACCCATCGGCCGCCAGGGAATCTGGCGGCCGATTCCCATACAGTCGGAGCCTTTTTTTTTTCTCTGTAGGCCCTGCGCGCGCGCAGGGGGTTCATGCATGCATTCAGGAAGAGGGGGCGGCAGGCCGAGGCTACCCGCGCGCCCACACGGCCGCCAGCTGCGCCTCCAGGTCCATTAGGAGGGCTGACGTCGCGCCTCGGAGCTCGTCCGATGCCGACCGCCATTGGCCCGAGGCCTTCTCGGGCGCGGTCGGGCTCGGCTCCGAGTGGCGCTCCCGCAGGTCACCCGCCGAGAGGTCCGCGCAGGCGTCCTGCTCGGCCACGGCCGCTGCAGCAACCACACTGCTGTTCGTGCCCTCGGACGCCTGCGGCAGCACCTCGCCACCAGCAGCCTCGGACAGCCCGATGGGCTCCGAGGTGCCTGCAGTGCCGCCGCTCAGGGCGGCCTCCTGGGCGATCCCGCCGCGGGCCCGCGCGCCGCTGCCGTGCACCAGCGCCGTGCCCCCAGCAGCGGCATACAGCGCGTCGAGCTCCGCGATGCCAGCAGCGTTCACCTCCGCGTCGTGCGGCTTCGCGAACTCGCCGCGACCCTGGGACTGCGACTTCGGTGGGCTGAATCCACCTGTCCCAGGGCCGGGCTCCGCCGCGGCGGCGTACCTGGAGTCGGCCTCGCCGCCGAGCTCCGCCGCCAGAACAGCCAACAGCCTGTTCAGGTCGTCCTGGACGCCGAAGGCCTCGTTCGCCGACCCGAAGACCTCCGCCACGAAGGCGTCGTGGAGCTCGGCTAGGTCGCGGGCGCGGGCGGCCGCAGCGCCCTGGGGGCCACCGAGCTGCGGCCCGCCGCTCCCGCCGTCGGCGGCCTCCAGCTCCGTGTCGATGCCGTCGGTCTGCGCGTGCTGGCAACCCTCGCCGAGAAGCGCCTCCTGCCTGGGGGCGGCGTAGGCGATGAGGTCCGCCAGCAGCTGGTTGGCGTCGTGCGGCGTGTGGGGCACGCCGCCGCCGGGCGCGCCAGCGCCGATGGGGCCGAGGGGGACGAAGGGAGGCGCATCCGCCCTCAGCGCGCCATCGGCCGCCGCGCGCCGCTCCAGCCGGGGTCCCCGCTGCGCAGAACGTAGCTCCGCCGCGCTGGCCGCCACGATGTCCATGCCCTGCGCCTCGGCATGGAGGGCGACGTTGCGGCGCAGGCGCTCGAGCCAGGATGGGGTCCACCCTCCTAGCGTGGCCTGCAGCGCGGGGAGCATCGCCTGCAGCCTATGGGCCACCTCGTCATCCCCGATGACAGCGCCCAAGGCCTGCTCCGCGGCCTCCAGACGGGCCCGAGTCCTCCCCAACTCGCCCGTCAGCCGCCGCACGGCGTTGTCGGCGGACCACTTAGCCCACTGCCGTCCCGCAGCACGCTGGGCCGCCGAACGCTTTGGCGCGCACTCCGCGCCATCCCGCGCCATCCTGGGTCCCGCGCGCCCGAAAGCGGGCGGACCTGGCCTTGAGCCAAAATGGCTACGGACTACAGTCGGAGCCTTGACCTAAGGAACCCAGAATAAGGAACGAGGCCCCTTTTTTCCATAAGTTAAGCTTCGATTTCCGATCGAAAACAAAAGGAAAATCCAAGGCAAGCTGCAAAAAAATAAGGAACGCGGAGCCCCTCCCCAACGAAAAGGGTTCCTTCTTCAGGGCCCCGACTGTAATTCCAGCAATTGCTTTTGTGAGGTCGTGGGGGTCGCGCCTGACGCCCTGGGACCTCGGGCTTCCCAGAATTCGCCCTTGGGAATTTACCGAATTATGGACACCGGCCCCCCGAGGGCCCCAAGAGGCCCCAGACACCCACCAGACGCCCGAAGACGACCCAAAGAAGACCCCCAAGAGGCTTCCAAAACGCAGAAAACAATAAGTGTCCCAGGTTGGTTTGTATGATCTTCGGAATTCCCCGTTCTTCGGTCTTCTGGGCGTCCGAGACCGCCTGGGAGGCTCCAAAATCGCAACAAAACCATCCGAAAGGGCTTCCAGGCAGTCCAAGAAAGCCCCAAGACGGCACAGCAGGGTTCCAAGATGGTCTAAGAGAGGCCCCAAGACACCCTCCGAAGCATTCCAACTCGTCACCCGGCCGTTCAGGGAGAACGCGGTTGGAGGCAGGGTGGCCCGAGGAAGCCCCCGGAGGCCCCCAGAAGACCCTAAGGAGGCCTCCAGAAAGCCTTAAGAAAGCCTGACAAACTTCCGCGGGGCCCCCAAGAGGCTCTCCAAGGAGGAGCCGCCGCAAAAAGAGCTCAGGAGTAAAGGGGAGAATTCGCAGGGTAGGGCGAGTATGAGGACAAAGAAACATGGAGGGAGGACACCGAATAACATTATTATAACGGCGATGCCGAAAAAGGCAACAAGGAGTTATCGCTGACTTGTCTGTTAGACCTTCCTGTCATTCCACCAACCAAACTTCAAGGACCATGGCGCATGGCACGAAGCGCCAATGCAGTCTTGTATGTAAATATAAATGTACACATGCATCCATGCAGCCATCCATCCATCCATCCATCCAATTGACTACAATACAATACAATACAATACAATACAATACAATACAATCCAATACAATACAATACAATACAATACAATACAATACAATACAATACAATACAATACAATACATACACTACAATACAATACAATCCCATACAATACAGTACAACACAACACAATACAATACAACGCAATACAATACAATACAATACAATACAATATAATATACAACAAAACAATACATACTAGAACCATCGCGCGCTTCGCGCGCGCTCAGGTTCTAGGAGGCCCCAGGCCTTAGCGAGTTCACTGCTCCACTGAAGTAGTGGACCACAGATGGTTTGAACGGGAAGTGAAGAAATGCCCATAACGCTGAACGCATTATGGGAAGTGTGAAGTCCATACATGTCAATCCGCATTCCAGAAAGCTTTCGGGGAAGATGGTTGCTCAGGGGGGCGGAGGTCTGATGAATTGGGTTCCCAGAAGGCCTTCTGGGAACATGGTTCTTAGGGGAGTCTTGGGGAGCCTGTTGGGGCGTGCCGTCGTCGTCGTCGTCGTCGTCGTCGTCGTCGTCGTCGTCGTCGTAATGCCGTCGTCACCTCTTGGGGCGCGCCGTCGTAGTC